AGGTGCCCAGAACCGCCCCGGCTCCGGCTAACAATAGGCTCCGGCCGCAGCGCTCTGGCTCTTATAGGCGCCGGCACTTCCGGGCCGAGCCCCGCGGCAGGCTGGGAAATGGAGTCCACGTGCTCTGGCCCGTCCAGCGGCATGCTGGGAGTTGGAGGCGTTGAAGAGCCCCAGACCCAGACTGGGCGGGCAAACCGGGTCGGGAGGCGGGGTCTCCGCAGCAGCGAACCCTGGGAAAGCGAGTCCTGAGCCGGTGCAGCCTTTTGAAGGGGAAGCGAGGAGACCCTCAGCTACAGATCTCCAATGACTAAACCAATTTTTTAAAATCAATCCTTTTTTTTTTTTTTTGTCTCCAGGACGTGGAGCCTAAAGAACATAACCCCCCTTCTCCTAACTCATGAATTCTCAGGCTTCAGCAACCTAACTTCTTGTTGCCTGCCCACGGTATAGTGAAACACATACGTGCAGGCAGCTTTATTTGTCATCTATTTGTGTCAGGCTGACTTAGGTGTTTTCTATGTTTCTTCCTTGACCTATAAGGTCCTAAAACACCTGCTGTTAGGTGCCGTCGAGTCGGTTCTCATAGCAACCGTCTGTACAGAGAAGTTAATACTGCCGGGTCCTACGCCCTCCTCCCAGGGGGTACTACCTTTGAGTCCATCGTTGCAGCCAGTGCCCATCCATCTCCTTGTGGGTCTTCCTCTACCCCATCCATCCTCTCCGTGGTTTCCTTCCATTTTTATCCCCCTCCCTTAATCTACTTCAGCTCCACTGGTCCCCTTGCAGTTTCGTTCTTCCGCTTGCTAGCCACATACCTACTCCTTCAAAGACTATCAATTTAAAGGTTCCCGAGGAACCTCAGGGAAGATCAAACCATTTCGGTTTGAGGAAGGGTGAAAAGTCCAAGTAGTTCAGTAGTCTCTGTTGACATTGGAGACGTCAAGAAGTTAAGAAACAACCATGCCGATGCAGAAGCAGATCACCAAAAAGCAACCCTGGGGAACCATCCACCGAGGTTCTCCTTATCGGCCACAATTTCAGCACAGGAAGAACGTAAGCGCTCCTGGTCGCTCTCCGCCTTGGCGCCTTCTTGTTTCAAACTGCCGAACCCAGAGTGCCAAGTGGAGCAAGTGAAATCGCAAAGATGAGGCTGAGGCCCAAGTACACGCTACCGTGTGCGCCTGCGGGTAGCCACAGCAGCGGCGTGAATATGGAATTACGGTTGACTACATGCTGTCTAGAACTTCTATGCTCTACGGATGTCTACGTCGGTGGCTCTAGAACTTCCAGCACCATTCGATCGCCATGAACACGAGAAGCCCCTCGTTCGTACCGAATCAGTCTGATTTTGATCCTGTGCTCTGGCTCAATGTCACATGCACAGTAAGTCATCTTAGCTGGAGAATTAAAAGCAAAAGCACGTGATCAAGAGCACAGATCCAGGAGCTGGGTTGCTGGGTTATAAGGTTCCTCTCCTCCACTTGCTAGCACAGCAGTGCCTCCTAGGGCAACGTGCCCAATGTTGTGCTTCCTCGTCTTCCAGAACGGGGCAAAAGTGCGTGTCTCACAGGATTTTATAAAGAATAAACAAACTCTTTTGAGAATGATGTACAAATGCGCTTTACACAATTGATGTGTGTATGGATTGCGATAACAGTTGTATGAGCCCCTAATAAAATGCTTAAAAATAAATAAATAAATAAATAAATGATCTCGTATCTTTTAAAATGACTAAACTACAGTCAGCATGATTTAAGTGTTAGCTTTTTTTTAATCAGAGCTTTCTGTCCAACGGTCAAAGAGGTTCCGTTCAAGGTTTTTTCTTCAGCACAGCTCCAGGCAAAAAGGTCAGAGACCATTCTGTGGCATCAGTGGGCTCAATGATAAAAGCAAACAAATGAAAAAGCACCCAGCCTACAGGCCGTGATGGGTGAAGTAAGAGAGCCTACACATCTGGAATGAAGGACAATAGGGAACCACTGGCCCTGCTGTCCGAGCTTTGTTGGTTACTGGGGTGAAACGAAAAGGCAATCAAACTCAGGGTAGCACAGCCTTAGGAAAGACAGCCAAATCCTACTTGCCAACAAATTCAGAGTCAACAGATGTGAGTGTAGTAAAAATATTGAAAGGCCGTGGTTCTCATGGCCGACCCCACTATGAGACATGACGCCCCTCACTGACCCATAGCCCTACAAGGGGACAACACCAGAGACACAGTGTGGGAATTGCACCCGATCTGACCCCGCCACACTGAGGCAAAACGCTAAGGGATTGCAACAGAACAGTAAGGGAACGGAGCAGTGAGATCCCCAGGGAATGCTGAAGGTGGACTTTGGGGCCAGGGC